GGGCGTGGGGGCCTCCACAGGCTGCAGGTGGATATGTGCTCCACCGTTGACCTCCGTGGGCTGCAGAGGGAGAGCCTGCTTCACCATGGTCTTCATCACAGGCTGCAGGGGAATCCCTGCTCCGGTGCCTGGAGCACTTCCTCCCCCTTCTTCTTCACTGGCCTTGGTGTCTGCAGAGCTGTTTCTCTCACGTATTCTCACTCTCTCTGGCTGCAGCTGTGCAGGGTTTTTTTTCCTCACTTTAGAAATATGTTGTCACAGAGGTGCTATGACTGTTGCTTGTGGGCTCGGTCTTGGCCAGCAGTGGATCCATCTTGACGCTGGCTGTCATTGACTCTGTTGGAAATCGGGGAGGCTCCTTGCAGCTTCTCACAGAAGCCACCCCCGTAGCCCCCGCCACTACCAAAACCTTGCCATGCAAACCCAATACATCTGCACATCTTAATGTTTTCTGGGAATATTATGAAACTATTTAGACAACTTTTTGTAACTGCATTGGAAGCTTCTTGTTCTGTTTGCACTTGAATGACTTACAGTTTTGATCTTAACCAGAAATCTGTTCTGGATTGGCTTTTATCCCACTAGATTGTTTTTGATACAGTTACTGATATCAACATGTTTATCCATTTCCCGTCCTGTACTTGCACATCTATTACCCTTTGTATCTTGTTGCCGCTTTTTTTTTTTCTTTCAGTTATTTGCAGGGGGTTTTGTTGTACTTTCTATAATTTTTATATTTTCTTTTTTTCTTGGAGAATGAATGAGATGACTTCCAGAGGTCCCTTACAACCTCCATTATTCTATAATTTATTGTCATTATCTTTTTTTGCATGGTGAATGCTTGCTAGGAACTGTACAAGGTTGTGTGATCCTGCAGTTCAACCAAAATGCTTTGCATCTTCATTCTTTAATTTCCTTATATCTTTCTCATTTTCCATTTTGCCATGTCACCTTCCATTTCATTCTTGTGAAACGAATTCATCCTGTCTCCCTGCTTCAATTCTGATAAAGTTATGGCTTTAACTCCTTCGTATCCAAATATCTTTCTCTTGGCCATCCTTACTTTTCCATTCTTACCTCTTTCTTGAGCTTTTTTTTTTGCGAAGTGCCCTACAGAGAGTTTTGCAATCTATTTTAAAAATACATAAATTGTAGTTTTGGATTATTTAAAACTTAAAATGTATTTTCCTGGCTACCATAATTTCCACAAAAAGCTTATGTTTTCATCTCTCCTGGTTACTTCTGTCTGTTTCTGGCATCTCATCAGGACAAAATGCTAGACATGTAGACAGGTTTTGATGGAATGCACAAGTACATGTATGACATGGTGGAAGCGATTTTTACTTTGTTTAAAGAAAACTATATTATGAAGGGTTTATTACAATTTTATTAAACAAGTGATTTTATTCAGCATTTTAAAAACTGAATTTCTAATTGAGTGTCAATAAGATACTCCAAAATCTTGGTAAAATATCAGACTCCATAAAGGCAAGGAGCATGAAATTTATCAAGTAAGAGAATTTCTATGTTTTATGAGACTACTTCCCTGACCTAATTTTTTTTTTTCAATATCGTTTGTTTATCTGTGATCTTCAAAAAATCTTTTCTAGGCTTTTCTGGTGTTGAACTGTTTTATTTAGAAGCTTTTTTGGTCAGAAACAAAAATTACTGAATCATAGATACTTCAGTGTTAAGGGTGAATTTCCTTACATTTCTTTGCTCCTGGATTTAAGAAAACTCAAACTTTTACAGCTTCTATGTAGACTCTTGTTATTTTCTGTTACTGTAGTCTGTTCATACCACAAAAAATTAAGAAAATTTTATTCAATATGGTCAGTCAAATATGACCTAGATGGTACCAGAAGATTTTTAGTACATATAGTATAATGACTTGCTGTTAAATGCTTTTCATCTAAGGATCTGGAAGCACTTTTCTGAACAAAGGTTAAATTTTATTTCACTGTAGGTATTCTGCATGTTATTTTTTTAGGCCCATGGACATTGCACTCAGTGGTCTTTGTACAGTAACAACAACCTGTCCCATCCAATGTGAATTCCATTTCTGGTCTTTCCAGACAAGATAACAGAAATATTGCTGTATAATTTCTCCTTTGACTTATGTTACATAATACAAAGTGTTGCTGTAGAGCAATAATTCTGAGCTTTCAAGTGTAAAACAGGTGCCTGTTGGGATCCCCTTCATTCATAATTACTGAATTCCAACAGGGAAGTTACTAGGTAGAACGAGCTTTAATAAGCTGCAATTAGTAACTTTTTCAAAGTTTTGCGTATATTTAATTTGACTGGGGAGTTTTGCAAAAAATAAAAATGAAGCACATCTCATTTACTGTTTACTTCGAAGGAACTCTTATCAAAGTCTTGAATTTTCTTTTTAAAGATGTAGAGATATTAACAAATATATTGCTGACAGAATTACTTCGTCATGACCACCATGAAGAGATCAGCATACCCTGCAGTTCTAACTTAATAGCCTTATCTTTTGCTGAGAATTAATAATCAGAAAACTATCACTTCTTAACAGTAAATCCTATCCCATACAATTGTTCTTTCATTCATTTAGTATTCCACCTGACAGTTGTCAGTGAGGTTGTTGCTCCAAACTGAAATCTGTGAACCAGAGCCTTATGGTGTAACTTTCCCCTCCTTTTACTAAAATTAGCTTCCATGTACTCTATTGCTTGCTGTTGACCAACTTCCTTCTCCTGTGCTGAGCCGTTGGATTGTTATTAAAGTAAGTATCAGTGTTGTGGTTAGCTTTTCTCTTGGCTGAATGAGAAATTAAGAGTACACAAAATTAAATTCTTCATCTATAGCACTCTTAAAAATCCTGTCATCTCCATTATAGGAGAGGTGGATGTTGATGTCAGCAGCAGGTGACTGTAGCCTGCCTAATTAACCATATACCAAATATCAACATATGTTTGTCTGTATTTCTTTACCCACTTCTTGGTTGGATTTGTGGCTCTGTAGCTCAATCATCTCAACAACATCTGTTCAAAAAAGAAAAAAATAAAGGATTAAAAACTTGGATCCCTTCCTTCCATCTGCTGCTTTCCAGATGAAGTCCTGTTCTGACTGAACTAAAAAAATCCATACCAGATCCTGGCTACAGATCATGAGGAAGTGTGAGCAATCAGGACATTTGAATGCTCCATCTGTGTTTGTATGAAGAGGACTGTTAAAACCTAAGCCAAAAACCCCATCCTCTTAACTCAGCAAGCAAACTTCAATCCCAACAAATACTTAAGCGCATGCTTAATTCATTTTTATTAAGCATAGAAAGTAAGCACCAGGTTAATTTTGAGTATACTTTTAAGTTTATTTGGCTTAATATAGAACACGTGCTTCAGGAATATCCTGAGAATAATTCCAGCCTCCACAAAATAAAGGCAAAACTTCATGACAAAGTTTTTAACAATTGGAAAATATGATAAGTGCAGCAAGATGGAGCTAAATTCAGCCATGAAACTATATGCATATATATAAAAAAAAAGGGAAAAAAGGCAAGTTGGTGATGTATGCAGTGTTGCACTGGAACTTAAACTCCCTTCTGCCTCACAAGTGAATTAGGTTTTATATTTTACTGGAACTCCAATGGGATTAATATTGGTAGAATTTCCATGTTGCAAAGTTATACATAAACAGGAGTTTCACTGGATATATTCAGGTGAAAATTCATTGCGTTTGTACAGGATTAATTTCAAAATGCAGTCTGACTTCTGTGAAGCTTGGCATTTGCCTTCTACAAATAAAGGTCAGAAAAAGCAGAGACGTTCATTCCTCATTTGGATTAGATGTCTTTCTAAAGAATGCTGTAGTGAAACCATAGAAACCTCTGCCTAGAATCAAGCTCATGTTGCATGTATTCCAAAAAAAGTCTTCAGCAGAAGCCACACTAGATAAATTTAAAAAAATTGCAAGAAACTTCTTCGTAAGAAGAATTTAAATGATTTTCCACTGCATTAAAATTAATCTGTATATTTAACAATTAGAGAAAGATA